CCCGCCCGCGCGCGCGCCCCCCCCCCCCCCCCGCCCAGAGTCTGTAGCCTTCCCAAACCCCCTGACCCCACCCCAGTTCCCTTCCTACACCCTAACTGCCTCATCCCCAGCACTACTCCAGAGCCTGCACCCCTAGCTGGAGCCCGACCCCCCACACACACGCCAGCCCCTGCTCCAGGAAAGGAGAGGTGGAACGTGAGTCCTGGGTGTGGAGGTGGGGGGAGCCGGGCAGGCTGAGCGAGGAGCAGCATTTCTGGGGGCCAGGACTGCCACTGTCAGAAGGCTTGGAGGAGGCAGGCAGCAGGAGCTCGGTGATCCAGCCACGCGAAGGCGGTGAGAGCCATGACGCTGGGCTGGGGCAGGGATCCTGGAGGAGAAGAACATCTCTGGGGACAAGTCGGGTTTGTGCTGATGTAGGTGACGGGGCTGAGTAGTGGGTTTCTGAGTTGGGAGCCCCTGCATAGGCCTGAGCAGCAAGGGCAAAGCCTGGGGAATCCCAGGGAGGGGAGAAGAGGCCGGTGGAAGCAAGAGGGTGAGTGAGAGGCAGTGGGGAGTAGGGCTTGAGGGAGGGTGCAGAGGGGGCAGGAAGAGGTGGAGTGAGGACAGAACCTTGGGGAGGGAGCAGGGGTGGGAAGAGGTGGAGAGAGGGCGGAGCAACGGCAGAAAGAGGTGGAGCGAGGGGAGGCCTGGGGGGAGGAGGCGAAGCAGGACAAGAAGAGGTGGAGCAAGAGCAGAACCTCCAGGGAGGGATAGGGTTGCCAGGTGGTTTCACAAAAAATACTGAACACCCCCAAAAAAGCTCAAAATTCTGTTGAGGAAGAAAAAAAAGATCAGAGCCAAAATGGAGTCGTGGTCCCTTTAATTCCCAAGCTGCTCCCCCTGCCCCAAGCTGCACCGCATGTCCCAAGCAGCCTTCCGTCAGGCGCCCAAGCCGAGCCTCGGGAAAACCAGAAAGCGACACAATTTAGATATTCGGTATTTTCTGCATTTTTTTACCGGACAGAAGGTGCAAATACCAGGCTGTCCAGTTCAATACCAGACACCTGGCAACCCTAGAGAAGGGGAGGAGCAAGGGCAGGAAGAGGTGGGACGAGGGCAGGGCCTTGGGGAGGGAGAGTGGCAGGAAGAGGTGGAGCGAGGGCAGGGCCTTGGGGAGGGAGAGTGGCAGGAAGAGGTGGAGCGAGGGCAGGGCCTTGGGGAGGGAGAGTGGCAGGAAGAGGTGGAGCGAGGGCAGGGCCTTGGGGAGGGAGAGTGGCAGGAAGAGGTGGAGCGAGGGCAGGGCCTTGGGGAGGGAGAGTGGCAGGAAGAGGTGGAGCGAGGGCAGGGCCTTGGGGAGGGAGAGTGGCAGGAAGAGGTGGAGCGAGGGCAGGGCCTTGGGGAGGGAGAGTGGCAGGAAGAGGTGGAGCGAGGGCAGGGCTGAGGGCAGGGCCTTAGGGAGGGAGAGTGGCAGGAAGAGGTGGAGTGAGGGCAGGGCCTTAGGGAGGGAGAGTGGCAGGAAGAGGTGGAGTGAGGGCAGGGCCTTAGGGAGGGAGAGTGGCAGGAAGAGGTGGAGTGAGGGCAGGGCCTTAGGGAGGGAGAGTGGCAGGAAGAGGTGGAGTGAGGGCAGGGCCTTAGGGAGGGAGAGTGGCAGGAAGAGGTGGAGTGAGGGCAGGGCCTTAGGGAGGGAGAGTGGCAGGAAGAGGTGGAGTGAGGGCAGGGCCTTAGGGAGGGAGAGTGGCAGGAAGAGGTGGAGTGAGGGCAGGGCCTTAGGGAGGGAGAGTGGCAGGAAGAGGTGGAGTGAGGGCAGGGCCTTAGGGAGGGAGAGTGGCAGGAAGAGGTGGAGTGAGGGCAGGGCCTTAGGGAGGGAGAGTGGCAGGAAGAGGTGGAGTGAGGGCAGGGCCTTAGGGAGGGAGAGTGGCAGGAAGAGGTGGAGTGAGGGCAGGGCCTTAGGGAGGGAGAGTGGCAGGAAGAGGTGGAGTGAGGGCAGGGCCTTAGGGAGGGAGAGTGGCAGGAAGAGGTGGAGTGAGGGCAGGGCCTTAGGGAGGGAGAGTGGCAGGAAGAGGTGGAGTGAGGGCAGGGCCTTAGGGAGGGAGAGTGGCAGGAAGAGGTGGAGTGAGGGCAGGGCCTTAGGGAGGGAGAGTGGCAGGAAGAGGTGGAGTGAGGGCAGGGCCTTAGGGAGGGAGAGTGGCAGGAAGAGGTGGAACGAGGGCAGGGCCTTGGGGAGGGATGAAGCAGGAAGAGGTGGGACGAGGGCGGGCTGCTGACGGGGTCGGAGGAGGCCGTGTGAGATGAGGGGTAGAGCTAACGAGCACAGAATGGGGCGACTCCGTGCAGGCGCGGGCAGCCCCAGGTGCTCAGCCTGGCAGTACCTGAAATGAAAGCTCCTTGATGTTCACCATCTCCCCGAACCAGGCCAGGGCAGCATTGATGAACTTCAGCACGGCCAGGAAGGCGATCAGGTTGGCAGCTATGTTAGCGACCAGCCCCACGGAGGCAGCCGCACCATTGCTGGCAGCTTCCAAGATGTTCTGCTCGGTGCTGGTGGCACAAGAATGGTCAGTGGGGAGAGGGCTAGTGCCAAATGGCAGAGGGCTCCCTGTTCTGTAAAAGCAGCTTGTGTCAGACCTGTCAATCACGCTGCCCCTAACTCCACACCACTGCTGTGGTCCCGAGCCCACGGGCCAGCGTGGGAGCGGACGTCTCGGCACTGTCACTGAGATGTGTGTGCAGGGACAGAGAAAGGCCAGTCGTACTATAGGGTTTAGAAATGTGCAGCTGTCTACCTGTGAGTCTGTTTGTTCACAAACTCCTCCTATACGGTAAGTGCTGGGACCACCACACATTGGGTAGGCAACGTCCTCTTACCCATCTTAAAGCAAGGTCAGGGCTTGGCTGTGGCAGGGCAATGGGATGTGCCTGGAATTCGACTGTTTCTCATAAAATGGAAAGGGAGAGGTCTGGCAGGAGGGGCAGTTATACCGTAGAATGACCACAAGGGGGCCAGAGATGGGGACCCAGACAGCTATTGATCCCATTGGGCCAGCAGGGGGTGGGGTGGAGAAAGGGCCAACTATCTGCTATATATTTCAGAGAGTCTGTCAGTTTGTGTGTCTGTCTGTTACCCAGCCAGGGGACATGCACCCCTCCCCAGCCTGTTCCCACTGCCACTGCAACCGCTATGGAGAGGTGCGTCTCACCTGGCTCCAAGCTACTGCGTAGATCGAGGGCTGGGGTTTTCCTCTCTCCCCAGGACAGCCTGCCTACCGAAACCCTCATGCTCAGCCCCATCCCAGAGCAATGATTTAAATGTAGAAAAACAAAATGTATTTGAGTTAAGGACCCAAGCAATGCTGGGTAAATCTTCTAGTGCATGGTTCTCAAACTTTTTGGCCCATGGCCTACCTGGCTCAATGCAAACCTTTCTGCGGACCACCAGCTGCTAATGGAAACGTACCATTAATTATATAATTACGCCCGTGCCACTTTGCTAGTGCTGCAGCTAGGGACGATGGTTTAATTTAACCAGTAAGAAAGGAAATATTAATCACAAGTATGAAACAGATTAAGCGCTTTAACTTTCTCATGTTAGTTTACAAACTTCATTTAAAAAAAAGTAAAATATTAATTTATGTCCAACACAAAAGCTTTCAACGTTGTCTTTATTTATGGCAGGGCTGGGGAACCTTTTTTGGGTCGGGGGCCACTGACCCACAGGAAAATCAGTTGGGGGGCCACACAAGTGAGAAGCAAAAAAAACCCTCCAAAGCCCCCCGACACCTCATACCTCTGGTTCTCCAGCCTCACAGGATGAGGGGAAAGGACAGGGAGGACTGAGGTTCAGGGTTTCTCACAGGCCACATTTGCTTTTCTGGGGTGCTGGAGTTACTAGATTTTATGGACCCTGTTAAGCTCTGGGGTAGGGACAAAAATGAGAGGTCAGCAGGCAAGACAGAGCTGCCAGTGAGTGCAATAGGGATAGGGGTGCAGGATCTGGAAGGGAAGGGGTGTGCAGAAGGGGTTAGAGCGTGAGGTCTGGGTGGGAGGTAGGATGCAGGAGCAGGCTGGAGGTAGGTTGCCTGGCTGGGGGGAGGGTGCATGAGCAGGCTGGGGGTGTGGGGTCTCAGTGGAAGAGTACAGGGTCTTGGTGGAGGAGATGTGTGAAGGTGCAGGTTATTGGAGGGAGTGTGTGAGGGGGCTAGAGGTGTGGGGTCTCAGCTTGGAGGGTATGAGTGAGTGGGCTGGGAGTGCAGGGACTTGGCTGAGGGTGGGGGGAGTGCTGAGATGCAGGGCAGGGGGATGCCTCATGGCTTCTGCCCCACCTGGAGGGGGGCAGAGGGACAGATGGGGGACAAAGGGGAGGCCTTGCAGCTCCTGTCCCCTCAGCAGTGTGGGAGGCCATACAGCTTGCAGTTCCTGCCCACTCCCCCCCCTTGGGTCTTTCTTCCCTGCCCCCCAGAAGGAAGCAGGTGCCCCAACCTCACGGGGATGGGGACACCAGGCTGGAGTGCCAGTGCAGGCTCCCCGCTGTGGGGGGAGTGAAGGGGGCTGAGCTCGTGCTGCAGACCACTTGCAAGGTGTCCATGAGCCCCAGTTTGAGAACCACTGCCCTAGAGCAAAGGTGCCTAGCCAGTGCCAGCTGCTGTTAGCCTCCACCACCCCCGCACTGCACCACTCACCCTCTGCTGAGCTTCACGCCTTCCTTGCTCTTGAATTTGGACTCTTGCACTTCTGGGTAGACCAGCTTGGCCATGCCGAGAGCACAAGGCGCAGCCATGACAGAGGCAGCGATGAGCGAGGCCGGGTCAATCTGCAGCATACACAGTGGGGAGGTTCCCAGAGGCAAGCCCTGGCACAGCGCCCAGGAGTGCCCGCTGGCAGGATGCACGGGCACCTCATGCCCCCAGCTCTGCCGGCACGGGGCACACTAACACTACTGGGCGCCTGGTGTGAGCAGCAGGGCAGCAGTGACAGGAGAACCAGGGGCTTGCTGCACCTGTCGCACCCCAGCCTCCATTTACCTGCCCCCAGGACAAGCCTGGCAGCAGCTGGTGTATACAGGCTTCAGGCTGGACAAAGTGTCAGGGCTCCCAGCCTGCCCAGTGCTATCAGGGCTCAGACTCACCCAGGAGAGGGGGAGGCAGGTCTGTCCCATGTCCAGCAGCTGCATGGGCATAAGACAGGCTTCTGGGGGGCTTTATGGAAGGGGGTTCTGGCTCGTGTGGAGATCACAGCACAGCGAGAGCTGGCCGAGAGCACACGGCTCAGCCTGAGTCCAAACAGCCGCACCACAGCTGCCCAGCCCCACGAACCCGAGTCAGCACCCCGGCCTGGCTGCGGGCTCAGATTCCAGTGTAGACGTCCCCTGGAAGGCTGGAATACTTTGGTCTGAGTCCCGTTGCTGCGGCTCGGGGGCACGTGGCCTGCGATAGCAAGTGAGCTAGATCTGGCTTTAGACTCTATGGTCTCGCTCGGTGCAGCCGCTATCCCATCTCAGCCCACATGGAGAGCCAAAGCAATCCATGGAATGGCTCATTCTAACTCCTGGTAACCTGAGCCCCAAAGCCCTGCCCTTGTCCTGCCTCTTCCCCCAAGGCCCACCCTTTCTCTGCTTCTTCCCTCAAGCCCAGTCCCATCTCCACCTCTTGCCCCCAGGCCTCGCCCCCTTGCTCACTGGATACCTCAAGGAGCCAGCCTGCAGGTCAGAGGTGACTCCAGCTGAGCAGGAGCAGGTGGAGGATGATCCCTCCCCCCCTGGGTAACTGGACTTTTGGTTTGGATGCCATGTCGAGTGACCGGGTCCCTGAAAACCAGGCACCTGGCATCCCCAATGGCACCCGGCCCCAGAAGCCAAAGCCAGGCCTGTGCAGGTAAAGCCTGGATGGGTGGCAGGCCTGCCAGCCATGCTGCCTGGGTGCTGAGTGCTGCGCTCACCCCAAAGGACATATAGGCCCCCATCACGCTGCCGGCGATGGTGGCGAAGCCCCCGGTCATCACCGCATGGACTTCGGAGAGCGTCATGTCCGCCAGGTAGGGGAGCACCAGCAGCGGGGCCTCCGTCTGTGCCAGAAGAAAAGGATGAGCCCCCCAGCCGATGCTGTGGCCTGGACACGGGTTCAGCGTTGCCCTGGAGGTCAGGTCTCCCCAAGGATGTAGGGGAAGTTTGAAGCAGTGGGCAGGCACTGCACTGCCAGGGAACAGCATACTCTGCAGCACGGCCCCCCTCGGGGGGGGGGGGGGAGGGTGCACGGCAGAGGGACTGGGAGAGAGACAGAGGCCGGGGGGAGGGCCCCTGACATCTCTGCATTTCCTGGCTGCGAGGGCTCAGGAGAAACACAGCACAGGCTACAGGGCCTGGCTCTGGGTGGAGGGCCAGGGGCTCTCTGCCCCTTGTGGGGGTGTGAGGGGCTTAGGGGTCATGTCCTGGTGCTGCCCAGTCTGAGGTTGCCTCCCAGCAGCTCTCACCTGCCCTACAAAGATGTTTCCTGCCACGCTGAGGGTCTCGGTGGATGTGGTACCCATGGTGATTTGCATCAGCCAGGAGATCTGCAGAGAAGCAGGACAAACCCCTGACCTTCCACGAAGGCCTTGCCCTCCGAGGCAGACACGCCAGGAGGCACTGCCCAGCCTGCTGGGGGCTCTGCCCCAGCCTGCTGGGTGCTTCTGGGACTTGTGTGGGTGCCACACTGCAAGCTGGGCTCCCAGCCAGCTGGCTAACCCAGGTATTCTCCGAGGGTATGTCTACACTACCACCCTTGTTCGAACTAGGGTGGTTAATGTAGGCAATAGGAGTTGAATTTCCCGGGCTTCATTTGCATCTCACCGGGCGCCGCCATTTTTAAATGTCCGCTAGTTTGGACTCCGTGCCCGCGGCTACACGCGGCATGGACTAGGTAGTTCGGACTAGGCTTCCTATTCCGAACTACCGTTACTCCTCGTGAAACGAGGGGACAGGCTGGTATTGACATGAACACTGGGGCACCAAGGCCTGTACAGCCCTGAGCAAAGGGTGGGAGGGGCAGGTCCTACCAGCAGGCCCCACCCCCGTCCCAGAGCTGCAATCCCAAGAGGCTGGGCCTGGCCTTACCTTCAGGATGAGCCACTGCATGAGGCCAGTGTAGTAGAGAATGGACATCACGCAGCTGAAGAAGACGACAATCGGTAGAGCCTGCAGGAGGAACCAGCGTGCAGGTCAGCGTGGGGGAGCAGGGCTTGCTGGGAGCCCGGGGTGGCTGAGGCCCCAGAGCTGGCCCCTGGGCCTGCAGCGGGGCATGGTGTGGCACTGAACCGCGCCGTGCGCAGGACGGCTTGTGAGCCTGGGGCTCTGGCCGTGCTAGGGCTGGCCCTGAAGGGCTAGCAGAGAGCAGGGGGCTCTCAGTGCTAGCTCTTGCTGTGGGCACAGAATGGCAGAATGAGCCATCCCCGACACCGCCCTGCAGACCCTTCTGCCCCGGGCAGTGCCAAGGGCATCCCCTCGCAGGCTGAGCCAGGCCAGCGAAAAGCTAGTTCTTGAGCCCCCTGCCCTCCCCACGAGCTGACCTGAAAGGCAAAGGCCTCCTTGATCAGATTTTCTCCAAAGACGAAGCCAGAGCCGGCGGTGGTGTAACTCAGGAAGATCTGTGTGGGGAGATGGGACAAGTTGGGGAGCAGTGCCCTGGGGAATACACCAGGGCCTGCTGTCATCCCGTGCTCCCAGCCCCAATTCAGCCAGCCCCAGTGTGGTCTAGCACTGCATGGTGTGGGGAGGCCATCGGCCTAGAGGGCTGCTCTAGAGCCACTGCCCTGGACAGAGTGGAGGTGAGCCAGGAGTGCAAGGGAGGAGTCTGGCCTGACAAGCAATCTGGCAGCAGCCCCTGGGGACTTCATAGCAGTGTTGTAAAGGGATCAAGGTGGGAAGCTGCCCCGAGTGCCAGCAGCTGGGGAGCCCCCGCTTACTGAGGAGCTAACGGGAGCTCCTAGAGGGCTGCTCTAGAGCCACTGCCCTGGACAGAGTGGAGGTGAGCCAGGAGTGCAAGGGAGGAGTCTGGCCTGACAAGCAATCTGGCAGCAGCCCCTGGGGACTTCATAGCAGTGTTGTAAAGGGATCAAGGTGGGAAGCTGCCCCGAGTGCCAGCAGCTGGGGAGCCCCCGCTTACTGAGGAGCTAACGGGAGCTAAGTTGAGAGACGGGCCAGAGCCCATGGGGCCCCAGGACAGAGGGAGCCACTTTCTGCTAACACAGAACAAGGAACTTTACTAGTCCTCCCTCCGAGTCTCTGTGCCGCTCCTGCCCAGAGCCTCTTGCCTGGCTTCCTGGCATGGCTAAAAAAACAGCCAGTCATGCCAGGTCCCTGTGACAGCCTGCCCAGCCCCACCTCCATCCTCAGCACCAGCCACACCCCATCCTCCACCCCACTCCCAGCCCTACCTTGATTCTCCACTCCCACTCTCCCATTCCCATCTCCATACTCAACCTCATGCCAGCCTCAACCCCGTCACCACCCCCTCAATCGTCACACTCAACTCCCCCGCTTCCAACAGGCCCATGCCACCTCGCCTGCATGGCCTCAGCCTACTCCACCTCACCCCACCCCCCCGGCTGGGAGCCTGCTAGCACAGCTGCGCCCCAGTACCTGGATCTGATTGCCAAGCCACTGGAAAGCTTCAAATCCAGGGTTCGTTCTGATGATAAAGACCCCAAGAACAAACTCCAGGCCCAGGCCCCAGAAGACGGCTCTCCAGGCAACCTGGGATGGAGAGCAAAGCAGTGCCCTGTGTATCACTGAGTCCCATCCTCCCCCCACTCCAGCCCCCGGGTCATTTCCTGGAAGGAGCCAGCAGCTGCCATGGTGACGGGTGCCACAGAAACCCCAAGTAGGCAGCAGGCAGAACCAGGTGAGCACTGGCCCCACAGTGCTGAGCTGAGGGAGCATTTTGCAAGATGCTCGTCCCTCTTTGCTCTGCAGGGGTCTCTCCAGTCCAGAGTGAGCCTTCCACCTCTGTGTGACTGACAAGACCCCGCCCAGTGAGAGTCAGGGCTTTCTGAATATCCCAGGGCTCTGGTGGGCTCTGAAAATGCAGGATGAAGGGGTGGAGTGGGAGGAAAACATGGGGCAGACAGCTCAGAGGAAGGTGCAAGGGAGATGGGGAAGCACCCCAGTGTAAGGACACAGCCCCCTTTGCACACATGCAAGGCTCTCTCAGAGGCCCTCTGCTGTTAATGGCCCTGTTCCACTGAGTCCCAGAGCAAACGTGACCATCCTGAACAAGAAGCGGGTGGTGGGCAGCATTGCAAAGGGATTCAGGCACCTGATGTTGCAATGAGGCACCAAGTGAGATTTTCAGGATCAGGTGACGTTGCGAGTCAATGGGAGTTGGGTGCCAAGTTCACTTAAGTGGTTTGTGAACCCCACGTGGTGCCTATCTGCATTAGGTGCCCAAATCCCCTGGCATCTCTGGCCCTAGCTCAGTATTTCCGCCCTCTACTGTGGGCAGAGGTCAAGTTCAGAGCAATGTCCATTGGAGAGCCAGAATGGGGGCTCAGGAGCAGGTGGTCTATGCTCAGTTCTCTGGCCATGCCGCCTGCCTGATCTCTGCCAGTGAGCCTCACTGGCTGCATCCACCCCCTCCCTCCCCCATGCTTCTTCTCTGGGGCACCAGGAGATAATAGATGCAAGCAGGACAAGAGGGCGCCTTCTCCCAGCGACGATCTCTACCTTCAGCCCTCAGGACACGCAGCACTGAGCTGCTCAGGGAGACCCTCCCATGGAGAAGCAGCATCTGCAGCATGGGCCTAAGCTGGTTCTTCCCGCACGGGAGCGCAGAACCCAAAGGAAACATCCACTTACTGCACCATGGTGCTTGGAGCAGGCAAAGAGGAACAGAACAAACACGCAGAGGCCAGCAAATGAAATCAGCTGCTCTGGCCTTTTGGAGGTGTCCAGAGCCAGCCATATGACCAGGCCCACCAGCACGGCCAGACAGAACACCCTGCAAGGCAAGAACCAGACAGCACATGGCTAGATCAGCTCTCCCTCCAGTCATATCTACAGGCTGCCCCTATGGGCAACAGTGAGAGAACCAGCGGTCAGTACCAGCAACTGCCTCTACTTGGCCTTCACCACCTGCAATGACATGCTGTCCTCAGGCTGTCCCAATGGCAGTGGCTGGAAAGGACCTTCACCATCTGCAATGACATGCTGTCCTCGGGCTGTCCCAATGGCAGTGGCTGGAAAGTAACCCCCAGGAAGATGGCTGGATGGCTCAGGACAATGCCAACAGGAGCCTCCCACCTCCTGTGGTGGGAGACAAAGACCTCAGTCGGTCTGCAGTGTAGAAAGCAGCATCTGTGGGTGACACTTTCTACCATTCACAGCTGGTCAGGAGACTCCTTCCCACCCTGGCAGATGACGAGATGGCCTCAGCAGTGTAAGATCCTGCTCAGGTCAGGGTGGAACTGCATAGGAGCATTGTCCTAGCACTTTCCTGACATTTGGAAGGGGGCTGTGGTGCTCCTGCTGGTCCCAGTCCAGGTGGCTCCTTTCCAGAGCAGGAGTGGGTGCTGAGCCCAGGTGGAGACCTTGGGGCAGGTCAGCACAGAAGGAATCAGGATGCTGCAGCCAGCCTTGGGCAGCTCACGGTAATGCCACACAATGTTGGGAACTGGGTAGTGGGGTCTCCTGGACAGCAGAACCCTACAAAGGGAGCAGGTGCCTTACATATGTAAAGGGATGTGCAGATGGGCTCTGAGTCACCCTGCTCCATGGGTTTCCCCCAACACCCTGTGCCATCCTCCCCTCCCCTCCACCCAGCTCTCACACTACCCTCAGCTGCTTCTTCTAGCTCCCAGGGGCTCCCAATGACTCGTGTTCCAGCACTTGAGTTCTTTGGGCTCCAACACCGGCTCAGGCACCGGCTGGGTCGCCTGGCATAGACCTTAGGCCAAACCATGGAGAAGCTGACGTGGGATGCACTCCAGTAAACACGTTAAAGATGGCAGCATCATTAACATATAGGCTGTGTCTAGACTGGCAAGTTTTTCCGCAAAATCAAATGATTTTGTGGAAAAACTTGCCAGCTGTCTACACTGGCCGTTTGAATTTCTGCAAGAACACTGACGATCTCCTGTAAGATCGTCAGTGTTCTTGCGGAAATACTGTTCTGCTCCCGTTCGGGCAAAAGCCCTCTTGTGCAAATCATTTGCGCAAGAGGGCCAGTGTAAACAGCACAGTACTGTTTTCCGCAAAAAAGCCCTGAAAATGGCGATAAGGGCTTTTTTGCGGAAAACTGCGTCAAGATTGGCCATGGACGCTTTTCCGCAAAAAGTGCTTTTGTGGAAAAGCGTCCTGCCAATCTAGATGCGATTTTTCCAAAAATGCTTTTAATGGAAAACTTTTCCGTTAAAAGCATTTCTGGAAAATCATGCCAGTGTAGACGTAGCCATAGTGTCACAGATTCCAAGGTCAGAAGGGACCACTGTGATCATCAAGTCTGCTCTTCTGTATGGATGGACCAGCAACTGGCCACAATAATCCCTAGAGCAGAGCTCTTAGAGAAACACCCAATCCTGAATTAAACGATGTCAGTGACGGAAAAGCCACCCGATCCTTGGTAAGCTGTCCCAATGGTTAACTACTCTGTGTTAAACAGGTGCACCTTATTTCCAGCCTGACTGTGTCTAAGCTTCAATCCAGCCATTGGCTCTCGTTAGACCTTTGTCTGCTAGATCAAAGAGCCCTTAGCAAATATTCGTTCCCTGCATAGCTACTTACTTATAGACCGTGATCAAGTCACCCTTTAACCTGTCTCTGATAACAGGGCTGCATTATGACTTTCGTGGGCCCTAGGCACTTTTGCCTTCATTGGCCCCTTCCTCCATAATAATATGAATATTAAAAATTATTGTTGATATAACTTTAAATACTTCAACATTTTATTTTTTTCTGTTTTAGGCAAAATTTAATAGATTTTTGTGGTCCCTAAAAGTTTCATTTTTTTCTGATGTGAGAAAAACATTAAAACATTTTCTTCGACCCTAAAAGTTCATTTTTTTCTTCTGAGTTTAAAAGACATTAAAACATTTTCATGTGCCCTAAAAGTATCGTGGGCCCTAGGCACTGTAGAAGCTATTTTATGTTTAGCTAGAAGCCATCTTGTATATTAGAAACCATTTTAGCTTTTCTCTCAAGCACGTAAACCAGAGTAAACTTTCTGTCACCCCGTGAGAAGAGGCCTACAGGATAAGCTATTGGTATGTGTTAATTGGGATGGTTGGGACAGGAGATGTACTCCCTCGTACCTGTCCGCCATCTTGTTAATAAGGCTTTGTTTTTCCAAATTTAATTAAGAATTTCTGTAATTGGATGCCCTGACGTCAGACTGTTTGGCTAAGGGTATAAAAATACTAGGATTGATTGTATTAGCAGCTTTACTGGGCCCGACTTTGCTGGAACCACGTTTGGCTCACTTTGCTTTACTAATCAATAAAGCAAATCAGTTGTTAGCCGCCTAAACAGAGCGGAGCGTGTTTTTGCTTCGACAGCACTGTGCCTACTGTCTGATAAGTTGGCCCTGTCTGATAAGCTCAACGGATTGAATCTACCACTGCTGGAATGTTTTATAGCCTTTTAACGAAGGTCATGACTCATCTCTGAGTTCTCTCCAATTGATCAACATCCTTCGTCAATCATGCACACCAGAACCTGGATTCCACCAGCAGTCACACCAGTGCCAAAGACAGAGGTACGATAAACTCTCTGCTCCTACTCGAGATTCACCTAGGATCATACTAGGCCTTTTGGCCAGTGTTGCACTGCATGCCCATGTTCAGCTGATTATCCTATCCCCTATGACTCGCAAATCTTTTTCAAAGTCATTTCTTCCCAGGACAGTGTCTCCCATGCTGTGACTGTGGCCATGAACACTGAGACATATTAAAATGTACACCTGGTTTGCTTATACCCAGTTTACCAAGCAAGCCAGATCACTCATATTAGTGACCTGTCTTCTTCATTATTTACCACTTCTCCAATTTTTGTATCATTTGCCAAGTTTATCAATTCATCTGCCAAGTTTATGATCTGATGTTTACAGTCGGGTCATTCCCTATATACAATAATGTTTTAAGACTTAACGTTTAGCCAGTTTTTAATCCATTTCATGAATACCATGCTAATTATATATTGTTCTAGTTTTTTAAATAAAAATGCCATGTGATACCAAGTTGAATGCCTTAAAAAGTCTAATTATATTACATCAACACTATTATCTTTATCAACCAAACCTGTACTCTCACCAAAACATATCAAGTTAGTTTGATAGGATCTATTTTCCATAAACCAATGTTGATTGGCATTAATTACATTATCCTTGTTTAATTCTTTATTGCTCAAGTCTCATATCAGGTGCACCATTATCTTGCCTGGGATCAATGTCAAGCTGACTGGCCTATAATTATGGGAATCATACTTTTTACCCTTTTAAAATACTGGCACAGCATTAGCTTCCTGCCAGTCTTCTAGCATTTCCCCGGTATTCCAAGAGTTATTGAAAATCATTAGGAGTCCAGTGAGCACCTCATCCAGCTCTTTTCAATCTCATGGATACAAGTTATCTGGCCTGCTGAGTTAAAAATGTCTAATTCTGGCCTATAATTATGGGAATCATACTTTTTACCCTTTTAAAATACTGGCACAGCATTAGCTTCCTGCCAGTCTTCTAGCATTTCCCCGGTATTCCAAGAGTTATTGAAAATCATTAGGAGTCCAGTGAGCACCTCATCCAGCTCTTTTCAATCTCATGGATACAAGTTATCTGGCCTGCTGAGTTAAAAATGTCTAATTTTGGTA